TCAGGCAGCACTGAAATGGACCTTCAGCAATTACTTAGCGTTGCCATAGATACAGATGCTTGGGTACTATACAGATGTTCATTGCTACACAATTCATCTGGCCTGAGAGAGAACCCAGAAAAAACCAACATTGAAATAAAGCCAGGCACAGGTGGGGACATACAACATGTGGAAAACTACACGCCCAACATTTACTTTTGTGTGATGTAAACACTGCTCATCACTCTCACTATCCCAAGTGTCAAACCTGGTGGTGGGCTGCTTTTCTTCAGCAGGGACTTGAGGCTGGGTTGGAGGTTTACCCCAAAGCTAAATCATGCGATGGAAGGGTTTAAAACAAACATATTCCTGTGGGCCTAGTCAAAGTCCAGATCTAATTTAAATCTAGGTGACTGCATGAATGTTATTTTGTTCCACAGCCTCCTATGTCTATGTATCTATGTAATTATTTATATACCGCCTTTTGACTGCAGAGCTGAGTCTCAAAGCGGTTTACAATTGTTATTTTTTTTGGGCACTTGTCTCTCACTCCACACAGAGATGGGAGCGGGGCCAGTACAGGAGGCACATGCCAGAACTATTGGACATATTTTTAGTGGTAGGGGAAACCGGAGTACCCGGAGGAAACCTACGCAGACACGGGGAGAACATGCAAACTCCACTCAGAAAGGCCCTGGTCCGACCGGGATTCGAACCCAGGACCTTCTTGCTGAGAGGCGAGAGTGCTATCCACTCAGCCACCGTGCCGCCCTCCTGCTGTGTCCCGGGAACAGTCCAGGACCGAGATCATTTCTCACACTGCCAACATCAAAAGTTTTACATCAGCGTTGGAATGATGCAAGTAAATTCAGCCGCCTGATGAATGTCATTTGGGGCTGACTCCAGTACCAATGCTTTCTGATAAGACGATAGTGATCAGCAGTGGAGAAATTACACACTTATATATGAACAGATGTGAACAACTGTGGAGGTCAGCACCTGCACTTCTGAAGGTTTTTGCCTGTTCTGTTCCCAGTGTTGTCGTATGAAGGGAAAAACAAAGCATGACAGCTTGGCATGAGTTCTGTGATCACTATCATCAGGCTTAGTCATTTTTAAGATAGACATCTATGAGCACAGTAGATACAAAGCTCAAAGGAAAGAAATATGTGTACAGGAATGTGTTTGACTTTTGTTTTTAAGAAATCGCTCCGAGGACACAAAGTATGATAGTGTAGAAATGATTCAATGCAGGTCAGAAAAAGTACATTAAAAAACGTTTTGAACAAATGAATGAGGAAAGTTTGTTTTGGTGAAAAAAAATTACTAAACAAGAGAAAAACAGTTTATTTTCTTTGCAAAAAATTGATATTTAGCTCTGAATTATTTGTATATAATGTTTTATTTTCTGACATGGAAGTATAAGTGCTATTAATGAATGCAAATGAATGACACTATAAATAACTTTAGAAATAACAATAGCCCAGGTTTGTAGAAATGAGGTGCAGTTGCCTAATTAAAAAAATATAAAATACAAATAACTGCTTAATGAGAGTGCTGCATATTTTACATTATACACAGAGGACCTTCGATACGTGCTTATTGTTGTGTTTCTGCTTTTGTATAATCCATGTACTATCTATGACACATAAACATTAGTGAGTTGCAAGTTTCCCGCAGACTCGCTTTGGTTTAATTTGAATAGATTTACTCAAAGCTGAACCCTTCACAATCAACAGTGGGCATCGACCCCACACTGACAAAAGAACTCTCTTCCTCATTTGAACGCTGTGGTTTTACTGCAAATGGCAAATAAATGAATCTGAATCTGATATAATAGCTAAAATAGCTTTTATAATGTGGATTTGTGCTCCCATAATTCAATCAAAGGTGGAATAATTGTTATAGCATCTTGTTCCAAAGAGTTACATATTCAACCATAATATAGAGTTGCGACTTTAATAAGAAACAACACGTTGAGGAAAGTCTGCTTTGAGCAACAATTGCTTGTTTGAGTGTGTTAATACCTGGTATGTTAAATATCAAATCCACTGGGCATTACCAGCTGGATCAGTTCTGGCAGATTACTTGGAGCCAAAATCAAAGCTGGACAAATAGTGATGGAAAGAAAGTATTTATTGTATCCAAACTTTGTCCGGAAGTGCAAACTGTGCTTCTCCTTTAGCAGTCACAGCAGACAATAATGATAGATGAGTGCTATCCGCTAATGTGATCATTGTATGTTTGTTTTGGTGGAAGAGATCTCAAAATCCAATGTTGTTCAGCTTTTCTTGATTTGGTCCCATCCGCAGCTGGCAGCACTCTTGTTTTTCCGTTGCTGGTGAAAGCAGCTCTTCCATATTCATATGCCATGGACTGGAGTCTGTATAATGCTTCCCATAATCAGGCTAATACTCACAACATGTCACAAAAGCCAGGTTCCAGCAGTCATCAGTCGGCTTGTCCAAATGGAACTTTAACTTACTGTAGTCTGAATGTTAGTGGCATCTTTATGATTATTACACATGACTGAAAATTACCGTGAACATTTTATATTCTTGAGTTAGGCCTTTATTTGGTGTTGACATTATCATAGCATTGATTTAATTTGTAAAGGATGGTACACAAAGAGGATTAATGACCCAAAATTATTAAGTCATTATTTAGTTTATCATTTCTCCGTCAAGGGGCTCCATACAAAGATTGTATATTTTTAAAGACTGAAATGGTTTAGGCATAAGTTTTGCCCAATTAACACAATCGGTCTTAGTAGATGTAACACAAAACATCAAAACTCCAAACTCTCCAAAAGATCAGTGAAAAAGAAACACAATTCATGAACTCTGACAATTAGTATATCATTCAAAAGTCCATTTACTTGAACATTGTAAAGCGCTTGGACTGTAAACTATGAATACACATTACTTACTTACTTACTTCTTTAATTCAACTTACATTGATAGATACAGTAGATAGATAGATAAATAGATACTGTAGATACTTTATTGATCTCTGTAGGAGAAATTCAGGTTTCCAGTAGCAGCAAAAACACATTCATACAAACAAACAAAACAAATAGATTGATCATTCTAAAAAGCTAACCATAGTAATAATAAAATGCAACAGCACTTCAGGTCACAGCAGCAGAGGTGGAGTAGCCTCTGGGTGGAGCAGGACAGGTCACAGCAGCAGAGGTGGAGTAGCCTCTGGGTGGAGCAGGACGGGTCACAGCAGCAGAGGTGGAGTAGCCTCTGGGTGGAGCAGGACAGGTCACAGCAACAGAGGTGGAGTAGCCTCTGGGTGGAGCAGGACGGGTCACAGCAGCAGAGGTGGAGTAGCCTCTGGGTGGAGCAGGACGGGTCACAGCAGCAGAGGTGGAGTAGCCTCTGGGTGGAGCAGGACAGGTCACAGCAACAGAGGTGGAGTAGCCTCTGGGTGGAGCAGGACGGGTCACAGCAGCAGAGGTGGAGTAGCCTCTGGGTGGAGCAGGACGGGTCACAGCAGCAGAGGTGGAGTAGCCTCTGGGTGGAGCAGGACGGGTCACAGCAGCAGAGGTGGAGTAGCCTCTGGGTGGAGCAGGACAGGTCACAGCAACAGAGGTGGAGTAGCCTCTGGGTGGAGCAGGACGGGTCACAGCAGCAGAGGTGGAGTAGCCTCTGGGTGGAGTAGCCTCTGGGTGGAGCAGGACGGGTCACAGCAGCAGAGGTGGAGTAGCCTCTGGGTGGAGCAGGACAGGTCACAGCAACAGAGGTGGAGTAGCCTCTGGGTGGAGCAGGACGAGTCACAGCAGCAGAGGTGGAGTAGCCTCTGGGTGGAGCAGGACGGGTCACAGCAGCAGAGGTGGAGTAGTCTCTGGGTGGAGCAGGACGGGTCAAAGCAGCAGAGGTGGAGTAGCCTCTGGGTGGAGCAGGACGGGTCAAAGCAGCAGAGGTGGTGTAGATTCTGGGTGGAGCAGGACAGGTCACAGCAGCAGAGGTGGTGTAGATTCTGGGTGGAGCAGGACAGGTCACAGCAGCAGAGGTGGTGTAGATTCTGGGTTGGGACCATTTTCTCTGCTCTGGTCCAAAGTAAAATGGTGATGCTTCAATAGCATTTTTCTAAACGTTAGCATTCCTCCGGTGGATTTTCGGCAGTTTGGGTCATGGGTCAGACAATGAACCCTCTTCGCTCTGGGACCAGTGCAAAACTATGAGCACGGTACTGCACCAACATCTCAGGTAGAAAAAAAGCAAGAAAAATAAGCACAAAGCACAAAATAACAACAGTTTCAGAGCTACAAAGGACTTTCTGCCGTTTCCAGCGCATTCAAAAGTAAACCCATTGTGAAACTGATATATACTGTATATATAAAGTGAGATATGTCAAACCTTTGTGGCTTTCATGTATCTTCAAATTCAAATTGAATGGAATTGAAAGTTGAATGACTGATTTCACTTGTACACAACATCTTATATTTTCTGACATCAGCATATACAGTGCCATGGTCGCTAGTCCAGCAATCTGAATGAATGAAGATTACAACTTGTTTGAAGGACATGTTTTGTCTCCTTGCTGCTGATGTATTTAAAGCAGCAGTATATAGGGTTATACTGCTGTCACGTATCACCAGCTCAGACATAGGGGACACATTTAAGAGCTTCTCGCTTCATGTTAGTAGTTGATCAATATGCCCAGCAGGAGCGATGAATATGCACAAGGCGTCCGCCGCACAGGCCTGGTAATTGCCGGTCGTCAGGGGTGGCAGGCGCGTAATTTACATCTCAGGGATCCTGCAATCAGCCGTCTATTCATTAGTGCGCCAACCGCTTCATCAGATGGCCACTCAGAGCTGCCAATCTCAACTCGACAGCCAAAGCATTCGAGGAAAAAATAGAATGGAAAAGTTTCAATTATAAGCCATGCCTGCGAGTAGTGGTGTAACAAGTCTTCAACCCTATATTTAGGCTTCTTCATGCAGTTGATTAACTGTTAGCTCATTGTGAAAGGGGTGACAAGAAGCTCAATAAAACATCCATAATCTCATGAATTTTCGATCACCTTTATGCCGAGGAGCCACTGTGGTGATCGCAGCTTTATGCCGAGGGGCCACTGTGGTGATCGCAGCTTTATGCCGAGGAGCCACTGTGGTGATCGCAGCTTTATGCCGAGGGGCCACTGTGGTGATCGCAGCTTTATGCCGAGGGGCCACTGTGGTGATCGCAGCTTTATGCCGAGGGGCCACTGTGGTGATCGCAGCTTTATGCCGAGGGGCCACTGTGGTGATCGCAGCTTTATGCCGAGGGGCCACTGTGGTGATCGCAGCAGGGACGAGAACACACTGCTACATCTTTGCTCGTCTCAAGTGGGACTGAAACACTTGCAGTGAGAACCAAACACAATGAAAGAAAGAGCATTACGGATTTATAAGTGAATAAATCTTCTACTCAAGGCGATTGTCTCATGACAATTACGCACACTGAATTTAAGGGCAGAATTTCGGGTCGCACAATCACATGGCAACAATGATGCACTGATTATGCCAGTATCATATTCATACAGTTCCATCGATACAATAAACTGATGTAGGGCAGTTAGAGTCATGTTTGCATTGGTGGTGCATTTGCACCTTGTCTTCAAAATCTATTCCCCTTTATATTTTTGGACATACATGCAACTGTACAAGACTAAATACTACTGAATGGGAACCTTTATGCCTAATATGCGCATACATTCAATTACATTTATTTTAACAAAATTAAAATCTCAAATTAAACAGAAGTAATCAGAATCAGAGTTCGTTTTATTGGCATTGTAAGTAACAGGAAGTCACAAACTAGAAATGAGCTTTGGCTATGCTCCATAGAGACAGGTTTACCAATGTAAACCTGCATGCTCAAAAACACATTGCATTCATTAACTTCAGTAAAATGAATGGTTTTGGTATATAGTATTAATGATAATAATTCAGCCCTTAAATGCTTGGAAGTCTGAGTGTATAACCACCAATACTACAGGAAGGGAGTTCCAGTCTCCGGAGAGAGAGCACATGTGTGCTGCCTCAGAGCTGAGAATATTCTTTTGTTCTGTGACACAGTAGCTATTTCCTTTATCATGAATCCACAACTCCCTTTAAAACATGCAATAGAAATGAACCAGTGACACAGGGCAGCCCTGGCGGAGGCCAACATGCACCGGGAACAGGTCTGACTTACTACCGGCAATGCGAACACAGCTCTGACTCCGTTCATACAGGGTCTGGAAGCCCAGCGGCACGGTGGCTGAGTGGATAGCACTCTCGCCTCTCAGCAAGAAGGTCCTGGGTTCGAATCCCGATTGGACCATGGCCTTTCTGAGTGGAGTTTGCATGTTCTCCCCGTGTCTCCTGTACTGGCACCCCCACTCCCAAAAAATCACAATTGTAAACCGCTTTGAGACTTCGATGTGCAGTGAAAAGGCGGCATATAAATAAAGATTACTACTTACTACTTAGCAGAGGACCCCATACGTACCCCGTACTCCGGGACAACCCCCGAAAGGATTCCTGCAGGAACACAGTCAAACGCCAGTCATATCCACAAAGCACATGGTTGGGCATACTCCCATGATCCCTCGAGTATCCGATGAAGGGTATAAAGCTGGTTCAGGTTTCCGCGGCTGAAAACCACGCTTTTGTTAATCCGAGATTCGATTATCGGACATAGTCTCCTCTCCAGTACCTTGGCGTAGGCCTTACCAGGGAGGCTGAGGAATGTGGTCCCACAATAATTGGAACACACCCTCCAGCCCCCTTCTTGAACAGATGGACCAGCTCCTGGGTTTGTCACTCCAAACAAACCCTCCGCAATCACAAGACGATATTGCAGATACGTGTCAGCCAAGTCAGCCCTACAACATCCAGAGACTATAAGGTATATAGTATACGTTTTAGAAAAGAACCTGCCTCTCCACTTTTTCAACAAAACTCTGGTCTTATTTGACGAGCACATATCACCAGAGTGATTGAATATTAGGAGGACCAATAGTCTTGGTGATCCACCCGGAAGTAGAAAATCCTCCTATAGACCTTTGAGACGGTCAGACCAACTAGCTCCGTGACTTCAGGAGATGGAGCTTGAAAAAGTTCTCAATGAATTAAATGTGGAAATACATTGTACTCATTCCATCCCAAGGACAAAAAAAGGTCTGTTCATGCAGACTAAGTGAAAGCTACACCTGCAGCAAACCATCAAGCATTTAATACATTTGTATAGAAAAATAATATATATATATCTAAAATCTAAATCTTTGTTAACTCATATCCTTATAGCATTTTTAGATATTTACTTAGATTATGAAACAGTTCATTCATAAATTGGTTTTACAATCGTCAGCTGCCATGAAAAAGGAACTGAAGGATCACAAATCTATTTCAGATGTATATGCTGACGATAGTATGTAAACTGTCTTTTGTTAAAACCAAATTTTAGTTTAAGTAAAGTGATCTGAAAGTGAAGCAAATAGGAAGGAAACTCAACAAATTGTGTTTGATGGTTTTATAATATGTAGTGTTCTGAGAGCTGATTAAAGTGGCCACATGAATCGCCGTGACATCGTGAGGGATGGATGTTTAGAGCAAGCTTAAGTGAACACACAATTACAACACGTACAACACCACATTCATGTCTTTCTTCTAATTACACAACTTTATTTGTATCTTGCACACCATTGTTATAAATGAATACATTTGTTCAAAATACCTCCAAATTGTTCAAGTAAAACAACAGTCACATATAAAAGAAATATGAACCATAATCATACAGTACTTTCCACAAAATTCAAGGAAGAAACTTGGTTCTTAGTTTCTCTCTCCTTCTCTTCTTTAATAGATGGACAGACAAATAGAGAGTCTCTGGGTGGAGCAGGACGGGTCACAGCAGCAGAGGTGGAGTAGCCTCTGGGTGGAGCAGGACAGGTCACAGCAGCAGAGGTGGAGTAGCCTCTGGGTGGAGCAGGACAGGTCACAGCAGCAGAGGTGGAGTAGCCTCTGGGTGGAGCAGGACAGGTCACAGCAATGCGACACTTGGTTAGGACCATTTTCTCTGCTCTTGTCCAAAGTAAAAAGCTAAATGTTTCAGCATTTTTCAAAAAGTCAGCATTCCTCCAGTGGATTTTCACCTGATCCACTTGGTTCGGACCATGAATCCTCTCTGCTCCGGTCTGGACCAGTGTAAAACCATGAACACAGTACTGCAGCAAAATCTCAGGACTGAGCTGGACTTCCTGATGACCTTCTTCCTGTCCCTCTCTGTGATGCTGCTGTTCCAGCAGACCACATCGTACAAGAGGCTGATGCCCCCACAGAGTCAGGTCTTCAGGAGTGGCCCCTGCACTCCAAAAGACCTGAGCCTCCTCAGCAGGTAGAGACGGCTCTGGCCCTTCTTGAAGAGGGCGTCTGCGTTATGAGTCCAGTCCAGTTTGTGGTTCAGATGATTATAAGAGTCCACTCTCTCAATGTCCCTTCCCTTGATCAGCTGGAGCAGCAGAGTGACGTCTACAGAAATCCACCACCATCTCCTTGGTCTTCCTCACGTTGATGAGGAGGTGGTTCATCTCCTTGGTCTTCCTCACGTTGATGAGGAGGTGGTTCATCTCCTTGGTCTTCCTCACGTTGATGAGGAGGTGGTTCATCTCCTTGGTCTTCCTCATGTTGATGAGGAGGTGGTTCATCTCCTTGGTCTTCCTCATGTTGATGAGGAGGTGGTTCATCTCCTTGGTCTTCCTCACGTTGATGAGGAGGTGGTTCCGCTGACACCAGTCCACAAAGTCCTGTATAACTCCTCTGTACTCTGTGTCATCGTCCTCGGAGCTGAGTCCAATGATGGCAGAGTCGTCAGAGAACTTCTGTAGAACACAACCGTCCGTGTTGTGTCTGAAGTCCGCAGTGTAGAGGGTGAAGAGGGACATTGCAAGGACAGCTCCCTGGGGGGCCCCCACACTGCAGGTCAGGACCTCAGACTCAGACACAAAGTCCATGGTTCTCACAAACTGGGGTCTGTCTGTGAGGTAGTGCAGGATCCACTCAGACAGGTCGTAGTCCACTCCAGCTGTCTCCAGCTTGTCCCTGACAAGCCGCGGATGGTGTTGAAGGCGCTGGAGAAGTCGAAGAAGAGGATCCTCACAGTGGAGCTGGGTTTGTCCAGGTGAGACAGCGAGCGGTGGAGGAGGGAGATGATGGCAGCAATCCCAATGCCCGGCCGGTAGGCAACCGCTCCACTCTGACCTCAGCGATCTGCATGTCAGGACGTTTGCGTGTAATGAGTCTTTATCAGGGGTGTCAACCTAATTGGATCTCAACTGGGCCGGACCAGAACATTCTCTGCATAAATACCCAAAAACAGTAGAAAGTCCAACTTTTTGTAGCCTGGTCGTACCACACCATCCATCCATCCATTTTCTGCCCTTTAATCCATTTCTGGGTCAGGGGGGTGGCAGTCAGAGATGCCACCCAAGTCTCATAGCACCAGCCCCTCACTGACCCTCTGCAGGTGGTGAGTCCACAGGAGGCTGCTCTCTGAGTGTGAGCATAGCCTTGATCTTTCAGTGGGGGCTTTGGGCAAAGTGGGGTTAAGTGTCTTGCCCAAGGACACAACGACAGCAGTCATCAGTGGGAGTCGGTGGAGAAGGTGTAGAGGTGGGAATTGAACCCACGACATTCTGGCCTCAAGGCCAATGCTCTACCAACTGAGCTACTGTCGCTCCGTAAACAGATGGGAGGGGTTTACTCCTTTTGCAGATTGAAACGATTGGATCTGAGTTTACCGTCACGTAATGCGCCCGAGTGAGTCGTTAGCATTTAGCATTTAGCCTAGCCATCTCCTTTGCCACTAGCGGAGCACGTGGGGAGTAGCGCGACAGTCTTTGCCCGCAATGACTTTTGCTATACATTCCTCTTGCTCTGGCTTCAATTTCTTGATAGAATCACACCGAAATACTTTATTATAGCATTCTTCACCATTGCCAAACTACGACCAGCCCGTTCGGTGCAAACTCTTGCTCATCTAACTACTGTACAACACCCACCCCATGCTCGTTGATAGGTCGTATGGAATTTATCTGATGTAATCGCAAACACAGGGACCAGACCCAGACGTTACAAGCAGGGAAAGGATGATTGACCGTACGGATGGCTAAGGCCAGGCTAAGAACATAAAAACATTTATTTAAAACTTCCTTTTCAACACTGTCTTTTAATACTCACTCAGTTTTAACTGTAAATCTGTTACCAACTTAAATGTAACAGGGAGTTTTCATAGTACAACACATGTGAGTATTTACAATCATACATTGTAAATGTGTGTTAGCTTTGAGTGCAGCTTTGTTTTATTAAGGCTCA